AGTGAATAGTACAGTAACAGCAGTGTGTACTATCTACAAGATGCACGGCTAAAATTCACCAAGCCTCCTTAGACAGCAGATACCTGGGAACACCACCACTTGTAAGTTCTCCTCTGAGCTACACATCACCCTGTCTTGGAAATATATCACCATTCTTTCAGTGTCACTGGGTTAAAATCCTGGAACTCCCTTCCTAAATGGTATTGTGGGTCCACCTACAGCACGTGGACTGCTGTTGTTCAAGAAAACAGGCCACCACAAGCATCTCGAGGGCAATTAGAGATGGGCAGTAAATGCTGGTCCTGCCAGCCAAACCCACACCCTGTGAATTAATGAAAAACAATTGTTGTTGAGCCCTAACTACCGTTGAACTGAGTAGCTTAATTAGGCCATTTCAGGGGGCAGGTTAGAGTCAACCACATGATGTTGTTCTAAAGTCACATGTTTAGAGTGCTCATGGACCAGATGAGTTTTTAGATCAATCACTGATCATTTTGATGGTCACCATCACAGCAAGTGACTTTCAGATTGCAGATGTATTAATGTCCTTCAAAATGCACCAGTCTCCCTTGTGGGATTCAGTCATGTCCCCACAGCTTTAGTCTAGTTCTCTAGATCAACTGCCCACTACGCCACCATTGCCCCTTAAATTAGAAGATGATTCATGTAACTAAGCAAACCACCTCATTGTAAATAATTCTACCCTTTTATGTATCAGACTTAGGGTGAGGACAGAAGCAGGATTGGATTTGATGCCACAAGTAGTCAAATTGCTCAGTCTCTAGACTCACCAATGAAGGACAGTCAGGTGGACGAGGTACCAGAGTCTTGGATGTACATCTTCACAAGGAATCAACATTCCAGAAGGTTGAGGATAGGAGGAGGATGAAAGAGAGAAGTAGGAAAAGCTGAATATTGCAGAGGGATTGAATTCCATAGTTTGAGATCTAATTAAACAAATTAGGAGCCAATGTGGTGAGTCTTAATTACAACTCAGTGAAGAGAGGAGGAAAAGTGTACGGTGTAGAAGATTTTGAGGTAAGTGGACAAATTTTACAAAATAAAGAACAAGAACCATAGGTTTGCTGATAAAAAAGGAACAGCAAGAAAAATTATGGAAATAGAGGGAAGTGGAGAAAATGATTGAAAGAGAGAAAAAAAAAGAGTGAATGTGGGTGGATATTGAATAACAAAAACAGAAATTGCTGGAAAAACTCAGCAGGTCCAGCAACATCTGTGGAGAGAAATCAGAGTTAACGTTTCGGGTCGAGTGACTCTTCCTCAGAACTGAAAAATGTTGGCTTTTCTGCAGAAAGTAGGGTGCGGGGAGAGGGTAAGGAATAAACAATAGGTGGAGATGGAGCCCAAAGAGACAATAAGAACAGTTGGACAGACAAAGGAGTGGATAGCGATCAGCCTGGGAGAATGAACAGCTGCTCATGGGGACAGTTAGTGGCTAACAATGGGGTTGAGTGTATTAGCATGGCGTATAGGGATTGGGCATTGCATAAACTGGGCAGAGATAGCTCATGCTTACATGGAATGGGTAAACACTGGGATTACACTGCTGGTATGCAATGAAAATTTGGAATAATTGACAAACTGATGCAATGTGGGTAATAGGAACAGGAGGAGGTCATCAGAGGTTGTGCACCTTGTTAATTAGATCATAGCTCAACTGTATCTTAACTTCCTGTATTGGCCTGGTCCCATGACCCTTACCCAACAAAAATCTATCACTTTCAGTTCTAAAAATTTGAAGGCCTCAGCTGTTCTGGAGGGCTGAGTTCCTGAATTTTCAGAAGATGCAGCATATTTTTCTTATGATCTAATGTCAAGGAACTAGATCAGAGAAACAAATGTGAAAGCTGAAGCGAAACAGGAAAGGGGAAAAGGGTTACCACCGTCATAGAACAAGGCAGCCAAGAGATCCAATGTTCACAATATTGAAGTATTATCCTTTGTTTGAACTCAGCTCATTGACAAAGGGGAGGTGATGGCCTAGTAGTATTATTGCTGGACTGTTAATCTAGAGACCCAGATAACGTTCTGGGGACCTGGGTTTGAATCCTGCCACAGCAGATGGTGGAATTAGAATTCAATAAAAATATCTGGAATTAAGAATCTAATGATGACCATGAATCCATTGTTGATTGTCAGGAAAATCCCATCTGGTTCACTAGTGTCCTTCAGGGAAGGAAACTGCCATCCTTACCTGGTCTGGCCTACATGTGACTCCAGACCCACAGCAATGTGCTAGACTCTGAATTGCCCTCTGGATAATTAGGGATGGGCAATAAATGCTGCCTAGCCAGCGATGCCCTCATCCTGTGAATGAATAAAGGAAGTCCCACAAAGCCAATTGACTGGCTGCAGGAAGACCTTAACACCAAGAGCTTCCATTTCTACAATGCATTTAACAATCTAAAACTTCCCAATGCAAAACTTTGCTTCAGGAAGCAATATTTGACATCCAACACATAATTAGAGGTGAGTACAGATGACCGAAGAGTTAGATTTTAGAAAAAGTTAGAAAAAGAGTTAGATTTTCAAGAACCACCCTACTGGGGGAAGAAAGAGAAAGTTTAAGATGTTTGGGGAGGCAATTCCAGAGTTTAGAGCCCCAGAGGCTGACCTACCATTTCATAATGTATTGGGGGGTGTTCGGTTAGCTCACTTGGCAGGATGGCTGGTTTATGATGCAGAGTAACACCAACAGCATGGGTTCAATTCCTGCACCAGCTGAGGGTCTATGAAGGTGTCTCCTTCTTGACCTCTCCCCTCACCCTGAGGCATGGTGACCATCAGGTTAAACCACCTTCAGTAGCCTCTCTCTAATGAGAGAGCAGCCCCTTGGTCTGGTAGGACTGTGATAACTTTTAATGTATTCAGAGCACAAACCACTTGAGTCCAAAAATAATAGGCATTGTCAATGCTAAATTACTGAGAAATATTTGTAGCAGCTGGCAAGAAAGGAAATTCAGACTTTTCTTTTACATTTATAAAACATGCATTTTAATGAGAAAGGACAGTGCTCACTAACCAATGGGGCAGATGTTCTTTTCTTTGACCGTTCTTCTAAGCTGGACCTCCTTTCAATCAGTCTCTGAGATCCAAATTCTTTACCAAATGACAAACTATGAATTTCTTCAATGGCTTGCTTTTTCCTGTCTCGAACACTGTCTGAAGGAGAAATCTAAAGTGTAAAAAAAAAACCGGTTATGACCAATCAGCAATCATCAAACTGTACAGACCATAGGAGGTCCATTTGACCCATCATATACCACTTTGAATGAGCCAGCCCTACCACCCCTCCTCTTTATCTTGACATTGCCTTATCATTCATCTCCTTTTCAAGTATTGATCAAATTCCCTTTCGTAAGTTATTATCGAATCTGCTTCCACCACCCTTTCAGGGAGTGCATTTCAGGTCATAACAACTCACTGTGTTTAAAAAGAAACAGAGGCTTCTCAATTCCTCCTTGGTATATTTGCCAACTCTTAAAAAATCCATGCTCTCCAGCAAAAGTAAACTCAATTTCTCAGGAAGGTAGAAGAAATCTGAACTCTTGAACAGGTTTAAAACTACAGATTAACAACAGGTGCAGCTCAAACTAAAAGGTTTAACAGCTTAGGAGCAACTTACTGCAGATGCTGGAATCTGTACTGAAAACAACGAATGCTGGAGGTCACAGTGGGTCAGACAGCATCCATGGAGAGACAAAGCAAGCTAACATTTCGAGTCGAGATGATTCTCCATCAAATCTCTGATGTAGCTCGCTCCCTCTCCATGGATGCTGTCTGACCCGCTGTGATCTCCAGCATTTGTTGTTTTCAGTGTAGGTTGAACAGCTTCCTGCTTCTTTCAATTTCTTTTCTCTTTATATTTTTACAGGCATTAGAGGCAGTGGTGACAATTGGCTTACTGATTATTTGGGAAACAAAAGTAAAAGGTGAAATCAGTGTTCATAAAGTGGCAGCAAAATCTAAACAGGAAGAAAATACCAAAAAGGAGCTTAAAAATCTCCAAGTGTTCCTCTCATCAATTCCTGTACATTCAGGCAGGTGCCGGGCAAACAAAGCAGAGACACGATGAACAGAACGTTTTCTTTACACAGAGGGTAGTTGTGATCTGGACCATTCTGCCTTAAAAGGTGATGGAAGCAGATTCAGTAAAAAAAAAGTTTCAAAAGGGAATTGGATAAAAAATACTAGAAAAGTCAATAAAAATTGTGGGGTTGTAAGCAAAGGACAGATACAAGTGGTACTAACTGGTTGTTTTTTTTTCAAAGAATCAACACAAGATGAAAGCACTCCTTTTGAACTGTATGATTCAACGACAATGGCATTTAAACCATGATTGTGTGAGCTCAAGTTCAGAACAGAACTACTGAGAGAATGCTCATACTGCCACCTGGTGTAAGCTTTGTGTGCAGTAGAGGATACTTGGCCCATGAAGAGTAAAAAAAACATTTTGGTGTTTACATTCCAATGTACCGCAGAGGACAAGAATTCATATTGTTACAGTACACATGGAACATCGGAATTTCACCTATTACCTAGGTGCACTTACAATAGCTGTCCTTTTAAAGATTGCAATAACTTCTGCTTCATGCCATGAGTATTGCACAATGTTGTAATCAGTAGCCTTTTTGTGAAGAAGGGTTAGATAACATCACTCAGAGACTGCAAGAACTGCAGGTGGTGGAGTCGGAGATAACATTGTGGAGCTGGAGGAACAAAACAGGTCAGGCAGCATTTCTGAAGAAGAGTCCTGAACCGAAACGTCAACTTTCCTGCTCCTCTGATGCTGCCTGGCCTGCTGTGTTCCTCCAGCTCCAGTCTGTGTTATCTAGCGTCACATCTTGAATAGCCCAGCCCTAAGTTTATGTCTGCTCATTCCAGACTCTGTTCCTCCCACATCAAAGGATATAGTCTTTATCTGCCTCATCAAATCCTTTTATCAGCTTAAAAATCTCAATAAGACAGTATCTTAATCTTCAACACTTCTAAATCAATACATCTTCTGACTTTCCACAAACAGTGCACCAGGGAATTTCAACAGTACATTTTAATGAAATGGTTTCAAGATAGATTCCATAAACCAAAGCCCCTCACCCACAGGTTCAAACCCACCAGGATGGTCTTTCCAGACGGAGAGGCCTGCAGTGCTGAGCTCATAAGGTCCCTGAAAACAGCCATAAAGCAGTAGATGCAGTTAATTAGTATTTTCTTCGCCGCCTTGTTAAACTTCTGAAGTTCCTCTACTAACTGGCCATTCAGTGCTTCATAATCCTTCTTTGCCTCATTCAGTTCCTCCGCTGCCCTCTTGTCTCTCACACTTTCCGACTGCTTGAGGCAGCTGACATAATCAAGCAGCTTGTCATAACGCTTCTGTATGAGTTTCTGAGGAGTCGAAAATAGGACATGTAACGTGGCAAGTGGGACCACAATGAGCCTCTCCAAATGATCTTTCTGAAATGATAAAAGTGTAAGACGTTAAGCTTGGGGTTAGAGATAGATCCGAGCAGATTTTCTGCTGTACATTGACTCCCAATCTGGCAGCATCTCATTTTTAAAAGCTTCATCCTTGCGCTCAAACACATCCACGGCTTCATCCATTCCCACCTCTATAACCTTCTACTACCCCACAACCCTCTGAGATCTCTGCACACCTCCAATTCTGCCACCTTCCATTTCCCAAATTTTTATTGTTCCATCATTGGGGGAAGGTGATGGTACAGTGGTATTATCGCCGGATTATCCAGAGACCCAGATAATGTCACCAGATTGTAGAATTTGAATTCAATAAAATGCTGGAATTAAGTGGCTGATGAAACTATTGTCAATTGTCAGAAAAAAACCCATCTGGCTCACTAATGTCCTTTAGGGAAGGAAACTGCCATCCTCACCTGGTCTGGCCTACATGTGACTCCAGACCCACAGCAAGGTGGTTGATTCTCACATTCTGGGCAGTTAGGGGTGTATAATAAATGCTAGCCTAGCTAGCAAAACCCACATAAATGATTTTTTTTTAAAAATCGACAACTATGCCTTCATTTGCCTGGGCTCTAAACTCTGGAATTCTGCCTAAACTGCTCCATTTCTCAACCTCTGTCTCCATTCCTTAAAACACAGCTCTTTGACCAGGCTTTTGGCCATCTGCCCTAATATTTCCTTATGTGACCCACAGTCAAACTTTGTTAACAATGCTCCTCTAAGACATTTTACTTCGTGAGAGGCAGGGAATCAAGAAAAGATTCCATTTGAAAAATGTGCCTTTCCTACAGAATCATTGAGGGAACAGGAGAAGCAGAAATCCTTCCTCACTTGCCCCTTGTGGAATCTCTGGGTCTGTCTGGGACAAGATGGGGTGGAACAGCTTATCAAAGCCTCCTCTGTCTTGAATTTTCAACTCATCATTCATGGGATTTGGGCAGGGCTGGTTAGGCCAGCATTTATTGCCCATCCTCCAATTGCACTTGAGAAGATGCCTCCTTGTACTGTGTTGGTAAAGTGACAGTGCTGTTCCAGAGGGAGCTCCAGTATCTTGACCCATAACAGTGGAGATAATTCTGAGTCTGGGTGGTGTGTAACTCAAAGGGGAACTGGCAGCTGGTAGATGTTTACTGTATATTCATTGTGTTTTAATTGTATGTGAGTATTAGCTTGGGATTTCCTTGAGCTTCTACAAATAGATGTAAAAGAAAACTTGGGTTAGGATGTGCATAATGTGCACCTATGTGGATGAGTACAAAATTACAACCTGTTCTCAAACTGGCTTTCTGGAATAGGACAGTAGCTGCTGTGCTTAGTCTTTAAGGCAGAAGAGGTTGTGGGTTTGGAAAACACTGCTGAAGAGGCAATGATGAGTTGCTGCAGTGTATCTTGTAGATGGTACACACTGCTGCTACTGTGCATCAGAGATGGAGGGTGTGATTTTTGAAGGAAGTAGATGGGCTGCCCGGTCAGGTAGGCTGCTTTGTTCTGGATAGTGTCAAGCTTCTGCCCATGAAATGCCAAGCCTTTAATTTGCTCTTAAAAGCAGCAAACATACCCACACAATCTTCCCTTTTCCAGCTTATGTAATTGCTCCACATAATATATTAGGTTAATGTACTTTACATATTGGTGCGCGAGTATATAAGCAGCATAGATAAGGCAGATAGGGGAAAAAAAACCCCTTCCACTGAGCTGACAGATCAATAAGCAGGCAGCGTACATTTAAGTTAAAGTACAAGAGCTTAAGAGAGAGTTTAAGGAAGAATGTTTTCAAATCAGGAGGGTGGTGGGTATCTGGAACTCACTGCCTGAATGGATACTCGAGGTAGAAACTACCACAACATTTTAAATATACTTAGATAACCACTTGAGGTGCCACAGCATGAAACGCTACAGGCTGAGTGCTGGAAAGTGGGATTAGAGTAGCTCGGTACATGGGGACACAATGGGCTGAAGGGCCATACTGTAAAACTCTATAACTTTACAATGCAATACATCAATCATGGAGGTTGGTTAGCTCAGTTGGTTGGGGTGGCTGGATTGTAATGTGTAGTGATACAAACAGCATGGGTTTAATTCCCACACTGGCTGAGATTACCATGAAGGAGGCTCCTTCTCACCCTCTCCCTCAGATGAGGCGTGATGACACTCAGGTTAAACCCCCAACAGTTGACTCTCTCTAATGAGGAAACAGCCCTGTGGTCCGGTTGGACTAACGGTAACTTTATCATCAATTATTTTGGTTTCCCTCTTACTGTACGTACCCTCTCAACAGCTGGAGCGTCCTTCCTGGTGAGGGAATTGGTTTAAAATTCTCTCCAAATAGGAAACTGAACATTTGCACCGGGGCAGAAGGTGTTTTGCTCAGGGAAGCGTAGATAACAAAAATTAAAGTTGCCATAGGACTTCTCTCTCATTTGTGAGAGGTGACTGGTGGTGGCTAACCTGAGGGTCAGCACATCTCAGGTGAGGTTGAGAAGTTTCAGAACCTCCATGGTAACCTCAGTTGATGCAGGAATTGAACCCACACTGTTAGTATCACTCAAACCAGCCAACCAACCAACTAAGCTAACTGACCCCTTGGTGAGCTAACTGACTACTTACCCCACTTATGCTCAGTAGGGGGAGGAATTTAGGAACCGTAAAACGTGGCCATTCAGCCCATCAAGCCTGCTCTGCTATTCAATGAGATCATGGCTGATCTGATAATGAGATAAACTGGATAAGTAAGCTTCACATAGTCAGGAAGGAGAGATCCCATCTAGAGTGAGACAAAGCCCAAGTGAGTATATATTTTGAGGAATTTGGAGGAAATGTGGTAATTCAGTGCAGAGGGAAATGAGGTGCTTTTTTTTGATTGCTTTTCTCTGGCTCATAATTTGTAAGTTTATTTCAACAGGATAAATTGAAGAACAGAATTAGGGCCCAGCAGAAAAGAATGACATCACAGGTAAACCATAAGTTCATTGGTTGGTGATAGCTACTAGTTTGACTGTCTATGATATTTACTTTCAGTGTGAAAGTAACCCAAGGGAAATATTTACAGGCTACAAACTAAAAAACCAGAATGAAATTTTTAAAAGTCAAATTAAGAACTACATCATTAAAATAGAGATGCAGGGCCTGGCAATGTGTTGTAACTGCATGATGTGGGAGTTGGGGGACCCCACTGTGGTTCAGAGTGAGCACATCTAAAGCAAGTGTTGTTGCTTGAGAAACTCCGGCTCAGAGTTGATGAGCTGGGGACTGAGCTTCAAACTCTACGACACATCAGGGAGGAGGAGAGTTACCTGGATACAGGAGGCAGTCAGACCCACAAAACTAGCTCATATTCGGTCAGCGGTTAGGGACGGGATGGTGTGACTACGACCGAGGCAGGTAGAGGGATCTGGGAGGTAGTGCTGAAGGAGCCTCAGCCCTTGAGCTTGTCAAACAGGTTTGAGATTCACTCTCCCTGTGTGGATGAGAGTGGGGGCTATGGGGAGGATGTGCAAACTGACCGTAGCACTGTGGTGCAGGGAGCCAATCAAGAGGGGGAAGAAAAGAGAAATTTAATTGTAATCAGGGATAATATAGTCAGGGGAACAGACACCGTTCTCTGTGGCCAGGATTGAAAGTCCTGAAGGCTAAGTTGCATGCCTGGTGCCCTGGGTTCAGGATATCTCATCTGGGCTGCAGAGCAACTTGGAGTAGGAGGGGAAAGATCCAGTTGTCGTGGTTCACAGAGCTGTCAACGATATCGGTAGAAAGAGGAAAGAGGTTGTGCTGAGGGAATATGAGCGGTGAGGGACTAAATTAATAAACAGAAACATAAGGGTAGTAACCTCTGCATTACTACCTGAGCTACAAGCAAATTAGCACAGGGTTAGCAAGATTAAAGATGTAAATGTGTGGCTCAAAAATTGAATTCATGTGACATTGGCACCAGTTCTGGGGAAGGAGGGAGCTGTTCCAATGGGACAGGGTCCACCTGAATCAGAGTTCTGGTGAATCACATGACTATGGCAGTGGAAAGGGCTTTAAACTAAATAGTTCAGGCAAGGGTTCATTTACCTGGAAAATTATGGAAAAAGTTAAAGGGGGAGGAGTCAGCAGAGGTTATTAAAGTTTCAAGAACAAGTAATAGGACAGAGAGTATGGAAGGGGCCATAAATCTAACTTCAGGCGCAGCAGATAAGGGAATAACTATGGGAATGGGAACAATCAACACAGGACTGAGGGTGTTGCACTGAAACACACAGTATATGAAACAAGCTAAGTGAGTTTTAATATAATTTAGTAGTCAATTATTGTCACTTGTATCTTTTTACAAAAAAAATACAGTGACAAGTGTTTAACTCACCATACCACTGGTGCCTATATCAATAAGAGAAGGCATAGATAAGAAAAAAATTGAGACCAACTCCTTCTTAGTTAAGTTAAATTAACAGCTGATTGAAATTGGCAAGTACGATGTTGTGGGTTTCCACAGGGACAGGAGTTCAGGACTGGGAACAATATACCCAAGGATACATGTCCTATCAAAAAAATGGGCAGATGGAGAGAGAGAGTGGGGTTGCCTTGTTAGTAAGGAATGAAATTAAATCAATTGCAAGAAATCATACAGAGTCGGGAGACATACAATCTGTGTGAGTAGAGTTAAGGAACTGCAAAGTTAAAAAAAGACCCTGATGGGAGTTATGTACAGACCTCCCAGCAGTAGTCAGGATGAACGGCAGAAAATAAATGAGAAAATAGAAAAGGCATGTAAGAAAAATACAATTACAATTACAATTATCATGGGTGACTTCAATATGCAGGTGGACTGGGAAAATCAGGTCGATAGTGGATCTCAAGGAAGGAATTTGTGGTATTTGCGATAAGGCATTTTTGGAGCAGCTTGTGGTACAGCCCCCTGGGGAGCAGGCAGTTCTGGATTTGGTGATGTGTAACGAGGCAGACTTGATTTGGGAGATTAAGGTGAAGGAATGTCTAGGGTTCAGTGTCGATAATATAATTGAATATACCCTGCAGTTTGACAGGGAGAAGCTGGAATCAGATGTAATGGTATTGCAATTGAGTAAGATAAGTACAAAGACATGAGGGAGGAGCTGGCCAGAGTTGATGGGAAGGGGTGTCTAATATGGAAGACGATGGAGCAGCAATAGCAGGAATTTCTGGGGGTAATTTGAGAGGCACAACAGAAATTCATCCAAAGGAAGAAGAAACATACTGAGAGGAGGATGAGGCATCCACAGTAGACAACGGAAGGTCAGGGACAGCAAAAAAGCAAAAGAAAAAGCAAATATTGTGATGAAGTTTAGTGGGAAGCTTTTAAAACCCTGAAGAGTTTGGATGAATTTCCTTTGGATGAATTTCTGTTGTGCCTCTCAAATTACCCCCAGAAATTCCTGCTATTGTTGCTCCACCGTCTTCCGTATTAGGCACCCCTTCCCATCAACTCTGGGATTAATAGCAAAGTTTTTAATTCCTCAAAATTATTGAGAAACTTATCAGCCATGATTGAATGGCAGAGCAGACTCGATGGGCCGAATGGCCTAATTTCTGCTCCTATGTCTTATGGTCTTATTACTGTGGGGTACTATTTTTATTATTATTATTCCCTTATCTGCTACAGAATCAAAGACTGAAATGGTCAGGAGCAGGTCACACACATACAGGATTTCCCGCTGCCTGGGGCTATTCCTTGTGGTCTAATTGCAACACATGCACTTCAACAAATCTCTCCAGAATCACTACTATAACCTTATAAGTCAAAATTTTTCAGGAAAACAAAGATAAAATGAATAATTTTATAAAGCTCCTTGGAGTTTTGTATTGGACTTTGCTCCCAGCATTGTTCAGGAGATTAACCTTTAATTCCCAGTGACTTTAGAACATTCCAGGAGGATCTGGCAGCTAAAACATGAAGAAGAGTCTCAGGTCAGATCCAGTACTTACAAAACTGTCAAAGGATTGTTGATAGGTCTTCAATTCCTGTAGAGAGTCACAGTTGCTGTTGTTGCAATCCTGCAAAATTCTTTGAAGGCTGTGCACATTCTGAACGGCCAGTAACATACCTTCCTGAGCAAGAAAAGAATCGACAATAATTATCAAATATTAGGAGAGAAAACAAAAGTAATGATAGTGAGCAAGGGGCAAGGTTAGAATGGAAATCCTGACAGAGAGAGGAGCAGAACTTCCTCAAGGAGGGTATACCTGGAAGAGATGTGGCAGTGAGTTAAACATGAAAATAAACTGAAGAACTGCAGATGCTGGAAATCTGAAACAAAAACAGAAATTGCCAGAGAAACACAGCAGGTCTAGCAGTATCTGTGGGAAGAAAGCAGAGTTAACGTTTTGAGATTGGTGACTCTTCATCAGAGCTTGTTTTATTGTACAACAATAATATTCTTTGGTTCAAAACGTTTTTAACAAAATAAGGACCAAGATTGAAAGATGGACTAGACTGTGGGGAGTGTATGCTAAAAAACTTGACAGCAACTGAATCTCATATATTAAGCCCTGAGTTCTGGGATTTGTCAGATTTGTGGAACTGATCACCAGCAGTTTGTGATTTCTGTCAAGCGCTGCCACCAATCCTCCTTTCTATAGAGATTCCAAGGGCTTGTTTGGTCAACACTGGTCAACAGTAAACCAAGAGTGGACTGAACCAAGAGGCACTTGTCTTAACAACAAGATGTAGTTTATTCTATGAAGCAATAGGTAATGAGTTAGTTAGACACGACCAGCAGCCAAGGATGACCCATCAGGATCTACAGCTGACCACAGTGTTCTTGTGACATAGTGGCAGTGTTCTTTCCTCTGATCCAGGAGGTCTGGGTTCAAGACCACCTACTCCAGAGGTGTGTCACAACATTCCTGAACAGAGTGATTACAAAATATCCCTGTAGAGCTGAATTGCTGGTTTTTCCACTCAACACAATGTGACATCATTAGATCAGGTGGAGTCTAATACATTCTGCAATATTAATAACTTAAAAACTATTACATTATACATCACCCTGCCCAACATTTTCTCCATCCACCCCCTCCATATACATTCAGGTACATAACTACGTATACATTTACCACTCCCACACCAGCCCCAATCATGGAAGATGACTGCTCCATCAAAACAAATACCGTCTTCCTTGTGGTATCCTGGATTTACAGAGCTGGCAATTTCTTGTTTCTAACTACATCCTAAATGGTAATTTTTGTCTGGCTTCAATGGAATCTCATGAAGTGTATTTTCACTTTTTTTGAGTGAATCATTATTCTCGATCTGCTGATATGCCTGTGTTGCAGCATGTAAATTCATATTATCACCTTGTTCAGTAGGTTAGGCATCTCCATTCACTCACCCTCTGTGCATATCTTCCTGGTGAACTCAACATTCCTTGGCCACTGTCCTGGAGGAGTGCTGCTTATGTAGTGTTATCTTTGTCATTGATGCTGACTATTTCTTGAAAGACAGGGGTTGAACTTGAATTTTTGAACTTTAGCTTTTAGACTTGTGTTGATTCATCAACTGGAATCAAGTTCAAATCTGCTGTATCAGTTTGTTCAGTGTCTTGCTTTGCTGTCTCTACAACCTCAGCTAAAGATTTGTCAATGACTACACGTGGGTTGTGCTGTTCATTTTTATTCTCAGAATTTGCTTCTCATGACCAACTTTGCTGAATTTTATCTTTTGAATTGTTTTTAATGCTGATAGAATGGAAAACATTTCCCTGCAGTCCTGTGAAGTCTGCTGACAGTGTGAAACAATTCTCTTATGCTAACGTAGATAATTTCAATAGATTCCTTCTTCCTTTTGGGTTACATCTGGGAAGCCCAACAATATCTTCTACCCATTTCATGCACATGTGCACATTGACCATAAAGTCCTACCGAAGCATATTCATACAAAGCTCTGCCCCCCAAGATCCAATAACTGAAACTTTCTTGATGAAATTTTGTTGAATAAAATGTTTGTTTGGTCATCTCTCATTTTATTCTTAATACTTCTCCAACCTCATAGAAAAGCTTATTCCACACAATGTGTAAAATTTATTAACGTTCCAGTCTCCACGCATATTTCCACAGGTGAAGACACAGCTCAGTTCCTTATAACTTACATATAAAACAGGTACTAAAAGTGGCTGTCATTCTACAATTACAGTCACCCAGACAAAGCTGGGGAAAGTGTTGTAAATAATCAACTCGATAACAACATCGGCATTAACCTGAATGTTTTGATGGTAGCAGGAAGTATTCTTTGCACAAAGTCTCACAGCCTTCTCCAAGTTTCGGAATATTTTCTCCTCTCTATCGAATGTCTCATCTTTGACCTGTAAATAACCAAATACAGTTTACAGTTTATGCAAACACACACAAACATCTGTGCTTCCAACTGGCCAATAGATAAGCCATTACCATTTCATTTACACGTGTTCAGCCTACTCCGTGGCAGATAACATTTGCAAGTCAATTTCGAACGATCAAGTGGTCAGGGGTGGACAAGGTGCTGTGGCCTACCAATGCTTCCCTGTCACCAATCTGTGCAGTTTCAGCGAGTTAAACTCCAACAGTGTCTGCAAGCAAACTAAGACCAGATCTCTGCTGGGTTTGTCCTGCTGGAACGGGAGCTGATGGTGGTGTCTGGGGCATGGTGTGTAACGTGTGACTCGGGCAAGGTGACTATGTGTCCGGCTCTGACTTGATGAGGATTGCCGTGGGACATTCTCCCAATTTTGACACAAGCCCCGGATGTTAGTAAGGAGGATGTAGCAGGATTCGACAGGGGCTGTGTTTGCAATTGTGGGTTCCAGCGCTTAGTTTGGTGCGAGGTGGTCTGTCCATTTCAATTCCTTTCTTTAGACTTTGCAGTGGTTTTGATACAACTGAGTGACATGCTGGGCCATTTCAGAGGGCAGTTAAGAGGTAATGCGGTGGGTCTGTTGTAGACCAAACTGGGTAAGGATAGCAGAAAATGAATGAATCATTACACGGTCACCATCAGACTAGCTTTCAGTTCAGAGTTTATGGAAAATTCAAATTCCACCACTTTGCCATGGCATGGTTCAAACCCAGGTGCCCAGAAATATCCCAAGGTTCTGAATTAGTAGTACCATTTTAACTACGCCACTCGTTCAGAAACAGGACATCAGAAATCTGGATGCAATGAAGAGGGTGAAAGTCAAACATGGTATTTGGGATAGTTGGGAATAGTTTGGAATTGTTGGGAATAGGTTGGAATTGTTGAGTCTGGGGTATGTCAAAGCCAAGGATAAGGGTGTGTTTTCTACAGCACACAGACTGAGACAGAGACAGGCAATATTATAGAGGTGGAAGTAGGCAATCTTGTGACCAAGAGGATATGGAGTCAGAACTCAGTTGAGGATTAAATTGGTCTAGTGTTTAAAATGCCCTCAATATTAATAACAAGGAAAATACCTGCAGCTCCCCCCAGGTGAGGATCTTCAAGTGACTGGTGACACGGTTGGACTTTTTCCTAATTGATCGAATGTTCACCTTGGACAGCTTGTCCCTTAGAGACTCATCTTCATCACTTTTCTTGTACTTCATCACTGAAGAAATAAGATGCAAGTGAAGCAAATTAGTCCGATTGCAGAAAATGTTCATTGTGGGGGCCCTCTTCTGGTCCAGTGGTAGTGTCTCTATCATTGGACCAGGATGCCCAAATTCAATCTGAGCTACTCCAGAGATGTGTAATAACATCTCTGAACAAGTTGGCTAGAAAAAAGAAATGTTGAATGTGTGTTTTGTAGAACGGCTTTTGAAAATTTAGCTCCAGGACAATGTAGTATTGGTGATGTCTGGCTCTCTGATCCTCTACTCAATGCTTGACTCTGCTGCCTTTACACAATTGGTTCTATGTGTTTACCTCCAGAACGTTTGGTAAAATTTCATCATTGTTGAACACATATTGCAGGTGAAGGGTAGAAGCTATATAGCAGCAGTGTCTCACACTATTGTCTGCTTTGTTCAAATCTAGTTAAGTCTCTGGATTCTTAGGAGTCACGTCTAAAGTTGGAATCCAAAGTACCCACTAGGTTGCTTATGCCTCAATCTTCAAAAGCTGGTCTTCTGATTTTGGATTCATTTAACTAACTATCAGAACGAAAGCCAAATGAGAATTTTTAATTCATAATTTCATATTATGTCATAGCTCATAAAAATGTAAACACAAAAAGACCTAAACTGCCCAGTCTCCAATGGAACATCACCCGGTCCTGGAAAAGTCAGGATCCAAAGGGTGAACCTGCCCACCCCTCCCAAGGTTAGAACACAGCGTTACTCTCCAAGTTTTACCATTATCCTACCCCATGGTTCAGTTTAAAGCATTGCCTCTTCTCCTTGAGGTATGGCATTGCCTTTCCTCCTGGGATGTAGTTGATCCAAAATTTGCATTTGTTTCCCAGCAGAAAGGGCTAACCCTACACTCTCTTTCTCTAATTGTTTAGATTTTTAGTCAGGTTACCTAAGAGCAAAGTTTCAAATGTATTTTACAGTGAACTGAATTATTTTCACAGCAGCTTCTACAGGGTCAACCTGTAACCTTTATAAATTTACAATCTAGAGTGGGAATGTGGGTGTGGATATCTGGAAAACATGTGGGGTCTTCCCACTCATGAAGACTGTGTGCCAACCCTAGTCCAAACCAGGCGGTGTGGTCAATGGGAGGTGTGAGAAAAGGAGGTAAACATGGGGGATAAAACCAAGGGCAGCGGATGCTGGCGAAATGAGCAGAAGCTCTGTGTTTCAGAGATAGCAGGAACTGCCGATGCTGAAGAATCTGAGATAACAAGGCGTAGAGCTGGATGAACACAGCAGGCCAAGCAGCATCAGAGGAGCAGGAAGGCTGACGTTTTGGGCCTAGACCCTTCTTCAGAAA